TCAGTGGGTATTACCTGGGCAAGGAGGGCTTATCTGTACCGGAGAGGGGAGGGCTGGTGTTTGGTTCTGCTGGAGCAGGAGAGAGGAGAAAGACCATCTGAGACTGCAGTTTATGAGCAATAAACAGATTTTAAACTTAAAAAAAAATTAATAAATATGTAGTGTGTGAGGTAGCCATGAAGGTTATAGAGAAGGGAGATCAGAACTGTGGAGGTGGTAGTTAACAGATTTAGCAGAAGGATGTCAGAGCTCTGACCTATATAAAAAGGTGAAGGAAAGAACCACATGGATACCTGACAGAATTATTCCAGGCAGAGGGAACAGCAAGTATGAAATCCTGGAAGTTAAAGTACACAGCTTTCATCCTGAATACATTAAATTATAACTTGGATCTTCATATTCTAAACATCAAAACTTCATACAGAGGTATAATCTTTTTCATTATTTTTAGATGTGGGCTTTTTAATTTTTGTCCAGCTGTGTGGATTCTTGAAATAAGAAAAAATTGTCAATGCTAGAGAAATATCTTGCAGAGTAAATTCCTTTACCCTTTCTCTTTCCAGTACCGTCTAAAGAAGAAAATATGTTTTCTATTCTAGCATCTTATGTATTTTATATGCTTAATCATGGCTGTTTGATGAGGAAGTATATAGATAATAATTGAATTAGTGATTCACTGCCTTTGAACAATTACTTAATACAGCTTAATATAAGACGTATAGACTTAAAGGTTTTTCCTACATTATTCTTTACCCTTATTCACATGATAACTCTCCCTTTTAATATAGAAGTGTGATAGACTCTGGTTTCAATCCATTTAAATTTAGCAATTTGACTCTAAAAATCTATACTCAGTGTGGTTAGGGATCTCTGAGGATGTCCAGGTATTCAGAATTACACTAAATTCAAATTTCTTCTGTGTGAATTTGGGCAAGTCACTTAAACTGTGATACTTAGTTTTTTTTATGGATATAACAAATTTTATACTTTGTTGTTACAATATAATAATGCATAGGAAAGTACATTATATAAACTACCAAAGAAAAATGTTAGTACTTATTGCATCTTATACCTTGTACCTTTATAACTGCCTCATATTCCTTTACCCCTGGAGAAAATTATGCAGGACATAAAAGTGAGAAAGAGTGACAAGAGATTTTTTACATTCATATTTTCAAGTGGATAGAAAGGAAGATAGGATTGTCATGTTTGTATGTTTTCCCAGTAAGTTGGAAGGAACATTCACTTGCTGATATGTAGGGGCTTGTTGGGATTTGGAACTATAATATAGTGAGGGAAAGAATTAGAAAATGTGCCATAAGAAATTCAAAAATCCATAAAACTCATGAATTTTTTGAAAAACTGTGGAGGTAAAGTGTTTAAGAAATCATAATATCTTGAAAATATAGAACAGTCCTTGACAGTATGCCCAAGAATAGAGGCTAGAATCAGAATATTCCATGAATGTTAGTTTTAACACTTTCTCTTGAAAACTGTATTACCATACATAGAAACTTCTTCTTATGGATTAACCATAAATTTGTTCTAGTTTAAAGCAAAATGACTCTATTTAACAGACTGAAGGAAACCACAACCTTATGATTTAACAACGCTTATGAAAAATAAATGAGTTACAATGCTCATCAACTTAGTTAACTGTTATTTCATTGCAGTATTTCAGGTAATTAGCATGCTACAACCTTACAGAAATTTCTTTTGCTTCTGCCCATTCATTCTCACCTGTTTATGTCCTCATTTATTTGCATTCCTGAGTGGGAACTTGTTCCTGTTTTACTAAAGGATATTTAAACAACCCTAAGATGAGGTAGGGCTTGTCATTAGATATCAGTATCAATCTTGTGTGTTTTATTAGATACACTAAGCTTTTTTGCCTCAGGTTTTTCTGACAGTATTGATCCATAAAGTTTTGGAAGTCCCCCTGTATTCTGCAAAATGGTATTTTTTTTCTCCTGGCTAGTCTCTATTATTTGGGTTTATTAACTATTGGCCTTTCCTGACTTTTTCTATTTATATACAGATTGGTTTTGAGTTAGCCATTGACTTCACAAAAACAACATATATATTTCTGACTTTGTTTTCTCTAACCAATATATACATTACTGGCATTAAGGAGGGGGTAGGTTTGCCAGATGAAATACAGGACACTCAGTTAAATTTGAATTTCAATTAAAGTAAATTTAAAAAATTTAAATATGTCCCAATTATTTCATAGATATAATATTCTGTAAGAAATTATTCTTTTCTCAAGTTGGAATTCTAATTTGACTGGGTATCTTTTATGTATGTGTGTATTTATTTATTTATTACCAATTATAGGAGAGAGATGAACTAAACTGAGATAAATAAGTATGTAAATCATTCAAAAACTAAAAAAAAATTCAAATGAAAGAATAACATTTTTAATAACAATACCAACAAGATGTACATATGTTAACATTTCTATTTATTTTCAACATTTGTATTTTTATTCATGCCAAGATTGATCCTTCTCCCCCACATATAGATACTTCAGTCTCACATCATAAACAAGGTTTGAAGTTTGCTATCTTCTACTTTCAGAAAATTTTCCATCTATCTGAAAGGCAGGATATTGAAGATAGTTAATTTATATCATGATGCATACAAAAGTGTTGTGTTGCAAGCCTTAAGAAACCAAGTTTGTATGAGGTTAACATAAGTTAAAACTTCTAGAAAATGGGACTTCCACTTTTAGGTTGTGTTGAGTAACTAAAGGAAAAACATCATTCTCACTAAAGGAACTTAAAAAGCCAAGCAAAATTTCTCCACCAAAGTTACCTATTTAGAGACATCAAAAGAACTCCTGAAGCAGCATGGATAATGGAGGATAAGAGATAAGCTAAGTTTTATAACTGGTTATCCATGGGTGCATTAACAAATACAACAAAGTCCTAGTTTGAATTTGTTTGAATTCACAAGACTAGAAGGCAGAAACTCAGACTGTGCCCAGTACGTGGATGTTGCTGGGAAGGAAAGAAATAGAAGAATTTTGGTGTTTATATGGGGCTGACAAGAGAAAATTGACAGCCTGTAAGACCTAAAGCATTGAATTTTTTCCCTCAAGGAATACTCAATCTGAAATTTTAAGTTGAACGGAGTTAAAATGCTAGACAGAAGACTTCTAGAAATTAAATAAATTTATTCATTCTATTCCCACAAAACTGTCATAATGTTTAATCATGGCAACAGTCTAGTATTGTTTATTGCCTAGTATAGTGAATTCCTCACCTATTTTCTCTGGACTTCCTTGAATCATTTGAGATCAAGTTGCAAAGTTGTTGCCTATCATTCTCAAATACTTCAGTATTTATTTCCTATAAATAATGACATTCTCCTATATTATTACAATACAATTAAAATCAGAAAATCAGATATGTTATCATCCAACCAAGAATAATTCAATCCTAAAGCTATTGGGCGAGGCTATATAAGGTGCCTGACCACACCAAGCTGGAGAGGAACATGATATCCCACACCCCTATGGCAGCACCAGAGAAGGTTGGGAAAGACAAACACAAATGGTGACACAATCCAATACAGAGCAGCAAGTTCAAAGGACAGTGAGGGATTTGTGTCCACCTGGGCAGGCAGCTTGAAATATGGGGGTCAAATATCATCTGGAGTAAGAAAGACTTCTTCATGACAGTCTGGTCCACCTGAGGATGGAAAGGTCAGACAGGGCAAATAGTGCACTTACAAAGGATAGGAAGGAATAAAGGACAAGTTAAAAACAAGTGTCAGAGGCTGATTGAGGGGAGAAGGGTTCCTGCCTGGTGGAGGTGCACTGCCGCAGGGGTTGGATAGTGAAATCCAAGTGGAGTAAGGAAGGTGTCCCTCCAGAGCAGTAGCCTAAGATGGGATGTTTGCATTGTGGTTTATTGTATAATTTGGCTCAAACCATGTGAAATTTGAGTGAGTTTGCCTTGTTTTTAAGTTGTTATTATCTTCTATGTTTTGTTCTTTTAGATTTGTTTCACTTGGTTTAGGATAGATATTTTGATAAATCAATAATTAATTTCTTATTTTTTACAATGTAGTACTTTAATAATCTAAATTTTTTTACTTAGTCATTTTGCAGAAATATTTTGCTGAAATATTTCACTTCAGAAAGTATATAGCATACATTTTTGTGTCAAAGTTACATAATTGAAAATATGTAATATTTGAAGACTGTCTCATTAGTAAAATGGAGAGATGTTGAGACTGCAAACTGATTGATCACACAACACCCAAGATGGGTTGTTGACTCGGTTCTTATGCCAGGTAAATAAATAACAATTCTCCATGCAAGGAATGAGTCATAATCATACTTTTTTAATTTTTATTTTGAAATATATTCAAATTTAATAATTTTAAAATTTGAAGATATTAAATATTATAAACTAGGAGAAATCAGATGGCCAGAGTCATCACATTTATAGATGATTACTATCATAAAATTGCCTTATCCTTTCAAGACAGACATAGGACAAAAACCTTAAGGCTTTTTTTAGAGACTAGCATTTAGTAAGCAATGAGTTTTATCTCATTTATTTTTTTTGACATTTCAGATGAGCAGTGCCAACTCAGCGCAGTTAATTAATGTAATGATCAGAATAGATCATTACAGATGGTTTTATAAATGCATTTGAATCTTCAAACCTTGGACAAAAGAAGTGATACTTTTAGTATTTTCATCAAGATGAAAATAATCACTTAAGTGCCTTTCTTTTATAGAAAACAATTGATATATTCAAAGCAATGAAAAAATCAAGAGTAAAAATGAAAACATAAAACATTTGGAAATTTATAAAGAATTATTCATAGGCATTTCAAATGTTAAGTTTATGCAGAGTTAATTATAATTTATTAAGGAAAAACAAAATTATGGGAAATTATTTTTAAAGTGACATACTTGTTTAAAAATAAGTTATGTGGGAATATAATGACAAATTGACAAATAAAAATTCATCTTTTGGCAGGGAAAGAGCAGCATGAGAGGTGAAAGCAAGGAACCTGATGGGTCCCTGTATAGCACTGTCTGACATCTAAATGTGAGTTTATAGCCCAAGAAAATACTGGGCTGAATAAAATGTCTCATATGTTCCATTGAAAATATATGAAAGAAGGGCAAAGGCAAGGTGAGATACAATGAGTTTTTAGGTAAATGATTACAAAGTCTTACGGAGTTTAAGACATGTGTGGAAATAAAATATATGGCAATTACTGTGGGGTCCCCAAGACCACTCATATCTATAGTAATTCACTAGAAGGGTCCACAGCATGTAGCTGGCCCCATGCTCAGATTTATTGCAGAAACACAGTAATACCGAGGCATAACTGCTTCAGTAAGGGAAAAAGGAAACTCTGGTGCAGTCCGTGTGCAGGCTTCCTGTGTGCTCTTCCTCCCCCTGAGAGATCACAACCATGTACCATCCTCACAACAGAGAAAACACAGAGACATAGCGCAAGGAGGCCCATTTGAAACTCCAGAGTTTTTAGAGTTTTTATCTGGAACTTTTCCCATGGGCATACTGTGCTCAACTATCAGACTCTCACAAGGAAAGCAGGTGTTCACTATATATTACCTTGTACACATAAAGAAACAACTTATCAGTTAGGGAGCATTTCAGAATGTAAGCTTCGAGATACTAGTCAAGCAGGCCTTTCTAAAGGTAGCATCAGGCCTGCTTTTTTAATTCTTCTGCACATTAACAATAGAATGAAAAGTGGGAAGGAGAAAAGAAGTTAAACCTTTATAAGGTTATTTCATTGCACAGAAAGTGCTAAAATTTTTTGTTGTGTCTAGAATAACAACTAAAGAAATAACCAAGGATTACCGACCTTTACGATAATAGATGGACTCAGGGATGGAAATGCATCACGGAGAATATAGCCAGTGATTCTGCAACATCTGTTTATGTTGGCAGATAGTAACTGCACTAATTGGGGTGAGCATTTGTAATGTGTGTAGTTGTTGAACCACTGGGTTGTATACTTGAAACCGATATAATATTGTATATCGACAGTACTTCAGTAAAAAAGAAAATAATAGATGAGAAAAGTAAAATAATATGAAAATACAAGATAGATATAAAAGAAGGCAAGAAAAAAACAAGACAATTAGTGCCATTAATGGATAACACAGACCAAATTGATAGATATAAGCCTCAAGATATCATATATTGATGTATTATTCTTCTAAAAACAAAGACTGAAAAAAATAAAGACAAAACTAACTAAAACCGAAGTATATGATATTTATAAAAGATACATTTTAAATACAAAGTTACAAAAAGTTTGGAAGCAAAGAAATGGAAATTATACCATATTAAAATACCAAGCAAAGAAAACTGGTAATGTTAATATCAGCAACAGGATGCATCCAACAGGAATAAATAACATTTCTAAATTTGTATGCATCAAACACTGGATGTAGAGAAAACACAATAGAAACACAATATTAAAATGGTATCATTTACAATTCCAAATACTAAGGGATCAATTTAATGAAAAATTTTTAGATTTCTACATGGAACCCTAGAAAATACAATTAGAAAATTTTTAATAAGACCTAAAAGGGAAATACTATGTATGTTAATAAGAGGGTGTAGTATTGTAAAAAATAAAGATTTTCACCAAATTATTTTATAGATTCACAACAGCTCAATAAAGATTCTCAAAATAGTCCCAAAAAGCCAGAGTGTCTTTTACTAAAAGAAGAAATTTGTAGGCTTATACTATAAGATCTCCATCTCAAAGGAGGTCTTATTAATTAAAAGCATGTGGTACAACTGTAAAAAAAATAAACAAATAGACCAAAGAAACAGATTAGTAATACAGAAACTAGCTATACCTGTGTTGTCATCTGAATTAGGCAGTGAAATGGAGGAAAGTATCATTTTTTCAATTAACTCTGCTTGGAGGAGGGCATATGAGAGCTCCCTGGGATGCTGTAATATTTCTCGTTTGACCTAGATCATGGTTACATGAATGTAAACATATATAAAAACTTGTCCAGCTGTTCTCTTAAGAGCACTTCACTCAATAAAATAATGAAATTGTTTTTATAATACTCATATGTCCTATGAATTGCCATATATTGGGGTTAATATATGTTAACAAGGCAGGTGTTTAATTTCATGTGGAGTGAATACAGCAGAATATCCCAAGTTCAAATCTCATACAGAGACTATGCACTGGGAACTAGTAAAGGCTCACCTGGCACACTGGAGAATTAGTGTCCCAAAGGTAATTGGATTGACATAAACCAATACTAGAAGTTGAATATATGCTGCAGAAATGGTATACATCCAAATTGGAAGACGAAAAGAGTACAAAGGTTTTTCTCTTATGAAAATTTCAGAGATACAATACTTGGGACCAATCCTTTGGGGAAAAGATTATGTCATGAGAATGAACAAATGATTAGAGACTTGACAGACTGTCAGAAAAATTTTTGAACAAGTAGAGGTTTAGGAAGCATAGCAAATTCATATGCCATGAACAGCTAAACAGCAGAAGCCCAAGTGTTAATGTTGAAATTCTAATATGACAATTGGGAAGCCTAATCTGTCTCCACATGCAGACATTTCAGAAAAAATTGAGAAAAAGTAAAATAAGCAAAAAGAGGTTATTGCTTATTCTGTCTAGTACAGCTCTGCTTTATCATCATCACTTCTCAGTCTTTGAAATATCTTACAAGATTGTAATTGTAGAAAATTGATTATAATGCAGATTATACATTTCTATAAAAATACAATCAAATTGTGACAAGTGCAGTGCAGTTGATTATTACTCTGTGGAGTGATCTGTTTTGTATCTATTTGAAGATTCATTTTAGCTTTCATGATTATCTGTTTATGTGCATTCATTAAATTCTTCTTTGAGTTAATATTTGAGTTGAAAAAAATTATATGTGTTCATTTTTTACTTGTATGAGAGACATGATATCCTCTCTAAGAAAATATTCTTTAACAGGTGAAAAATAAGGTAGTAACTACTTTTAAATAGTAGTAACTACTAATATGGTGCTTTGGACTTCTGGAGATAAAATGGCAAATTAGAGTTATGTCTGTTCCCTCTTGTACTTTTTACTAAACACAATGTAAAATGGTGCAGCAACATGGAAAACTTGAGGTAGTTCAACAACATTTATAATAGAACTACTATATGATCCAGCAACCCTACTTCTGGGTATTTATCCAACAGAATTGAACTCAGGATCTTGAAAAGATATTTGCATGCCCATGCTCATTGCAGCATTAATCACAATAGCCAAGAAATAACCCAAGTGTCCATTGACAAATGAATGGATAAGGAAAATATTTGTGTATATATGTGTCTATACATATATATACAGACAGACAGACAGACAGACACACACACACACAAACACACACACGATGGAATATTATTAAGCCTTAAGGAGGAAGGAAATCTGCCAGGGGATTGAGGGTGGGGGAAATCAAGAGTGGTTGTTTTTAAGGGTATCAGGCTTCATTTATGCTAGATTAATAATTATGGAGATCTGCTGTATGATATAGTGCCTGTAGTTAAGAATATAGGATTGCCCACTTCAAAATTTGTTAAGCAGGTAGATCTCCTGTTAAGTGTTCTTAATACGCACAGACACACACACACACCAAAAAACAAAGTAACACAAGAAAACTTTGGGGACATGTTGACTACATCTAATACCTTGATTGTGGTGATTGTATCATGGGTATTTGCATATGCCCAAACTCAGCAAATTGTACATGTTAAATATATGCAGTGCTTTGTTTATCGATTATACCTCAACAAAGCTGCTTAAAATGTAACATAAAAACAAAATACTTGGGAATAAATCAAAGTAAAGCTCTCCAGAAGTCTTTATGTGGAAAACACTGAAACAAAAAGAGAAATCCAAGTTCTTCAGATATAGCATCATCATTGTTTGAAAGTTCTTTATTTTTAAAGTATCAAATTACTGAAAAATTTTCAATAATTTCCATGGAATTTAATAGATAACTGTAATGTTTTTCATTTTTAGTAATTTTATATATTTTTTGTTTTGTAGAAATTCACAAGCTGATTCTAATTTAGAAGGAACCACAAAGGCCAAGTACAGGGATGAGAGTTTTTAACTAATTTTTTGGATTAGGTTCAAAATGCACAAATCTAAGTGTACAGCTTGACAAATTTTGAGATGTGTATATACTCATGTAACCATCACCCAGATTAAGATATCAAACATCTCATAAGTGGCATGACACTTTAAGAAAAAAAATAAAGGCCAAGACTTGTTCTGCATATCAGTGCCTTATATATAGCCTCAGTTGTTAATACAGTGTGATGTGGCCACCAAGAACAGACAGATAGATCAATGAAACAGAAGAGGGCCCAGATATTAATGATCATAATTAATAAACATATTAATGATCAAGTAAAATTTAACACATGAAATAATGCCCAACTTTTTTAGTAAAGAGAGAAATGTACTCAGTCTTATATCTAATTATATCTAACATCTTGTAAAATATACCAAAAGATGATGGCTTTACACAGCTGTATTCAAAGCACTGCAAAAAAAAGTTGTGATTTTTTGTGTATCTAAGTAACTTTACAATACCATTAATTACTTGTTAATTATAATATAGAATGGTTTATATATGAATTGTCCCGAAATGCATGTTTTCAGAGCAACTGTTGGGAGAATATCTTTGTCTCTATCTAACCTTTCATCTCATACATGAATTTCATATAAAGACATTTTTTGTGGAAAGAGGGCATGCCCCCCCATCTTTTTACATTTGAATGAACATATGAGGAAAAATGTTTAAGAAATAGAAGTATTTTACTCTAGAAAGGGAAAAGAGGGGAAATTTAAAAATAAAATGTATTTTCCAAGTTTTAAGTAAATTAAAACATATATCTTAATGTGCCAATAATTTTTACAACTCTCAAGTACTGATTAGCAAGTCATTTAATCTATTTGGCATCAGTTATTTTGTTCATAAATGAGAAGCTTCATCCAATCATTCTCCAATTTACCTTGGAACTGTTTGTTTTGCATACAGTTTACATAATTTAGTTTAAACATATGATCCTGCATTGTTTCGTAATAAAGAAAAAAGTAGGAAAATAAAATAATAATAATAAGCTAAAAGATAAGGAAATTATTATAATAAAATTCCTATTTCATTAAGTGCACCAATGTATGAATAATAACCATATTATTAATGTAAAGCAGCCTGCATACTAAAAGCATAGTATATATAAATCACTGGTCAGTGACCTAAGGACCATGGGCCAAATCCTGCCTGCCATCTGCTTTTACAAATAAACTTTTATTGGCTAACAGCCCCATCCTTTCATTTACATATTGTCCATGGCTGCTTTTATACTACAACAGCAGAAATGAGTAGTTGTGGCACAAGCCTTATGGCCAAAAATATTCACTATTTCCCTTAATAGAAAAATTTTGCCAAACCCTAGTATTTAAAATTAATGTTATGCCCCTCCCTTCCCCCCAAGCCCCAGTAAAAGTCATAACTGCCTTAGGCTGTAGTAGCCAGATCCAGTTATAATAAGTGGTACAAAATCACAGGGAAGCAACCTACAAAATCTGGATTGAGGGAAATCTTATAGGACAAAGGCCTCTATGATGGGAGTGTGTGGGAGAACCTAAGATTAATAGAGATTTAAGAGGCAGAGTAACTAATCGCAGGCAGTGGCATAGTTTGAATCTTAATTCAAAAAGTTTCTTAAAATGTCAAGGACAATCAGAGGATTGTGAAAATGTCCTGAATGTTTGCTCATATACTTAAAAATATAATTTAATGTTTGTGCAGGGCAGTGAGGGAAGAGAGAAAGAGATGGTACTTTGGTTATGTTTGAAATTTAGTTCTTGTCTGTAGAGTTACATGCAAAAATAAACAAAAAATGATCATGTTTCATATTTGCTTCAAAATAATCATATGGTTGTTGGGGAGATGGAATGAGTGGAACATAGAGAATATAAGGTTAGCCATGAAATAATAATAGTTAAAACTACCTAATGAGCAGACTGATTACCATATTTTCTCTGCTTTTATATATGCTTGCAATTTTCCATAATATTTTTATAATAAATTTTTATTATTTTATGTTATTGTAATGATATTATTTTATTATTTATAGATTTTTATTACAGTATTTAGCTTTTATAATACAATTTTATTAAAATTATACAAAAAGGCTATGTTGGGGAAATGGAGCTAAGGACGGAATGAGGTAGCTTGGAATGGAGGACTATAGTTCTCATGATAAATTCTTTGTAATATGTGACTTTCTTTAAGTATGTGACTATACTACTGGAAACTAAAGATCTGCTAAATAATTCAAAACATTAATGATGTTCAACGAAAGATGGAAAGTCTCCCTCCCCCTCTAATAAAGCACAATGTCCAAATGGTATAACTAATAAATTTACCAAATGTGTGCTGAATTAAAGTTTACTTAAAAGACATCACAATTGATCAATTCAAAGAGGATAAAGGCTAAATTTGTCAGTACTTTTAAAATACTACAAATTCCAATAAAAAATAAGATAAAGTGTTTAAAAAATACCATGAACTAACCAAGTCTTTTAAGGATAGGTATTTTTTGCTGGAGACTAATGTAGACAACTATGAAGAGAAAAACCACAAAATAGAAAGGCCAGAATTGAAATAGGCCTCTGCTGTTATGCACCAGCCACTATAATTTTCCTTGGGCTAAAGGTTAAGAAGAACAAAAGTGTACTCATTTTTCTCCCAGGGGTGAGCTCAAATTTCTGCTTTTTAGATTAATTCCCTGAAGAGAACAAATATCAATTATGAACGTCTTTGTTTGTTGGTAGACCAAAAAAATCAAAGCAGGGACCTAGTAGTGAAAACTGAGAAATTTCCAGGTATAAAAGTTCAGATGCCTTTTCAACTGAATCAAGAAGACCATAGAAGATGTAGAATGAGAAAAGCTTATAAATGTATGAAACAAATAAGCAAAAACTTCCAAAAAATGTTATGAGAATCTTGGGATAGATAATATTCTTCCTCTATTATCACTAAATTTACACCGATATTTTAAAAACGAAGAAATTACATAATCACCTAGGGGAAGAAGAAATAAGAAATACAATGTACTCAGCTTGATTTCTCTAATTAATTTAGTAATAATTTGCTGTTATAAAAATTATTATCCAGCTAGTGATAACCTATTATAACATCTACTAATTTAACCACAATTTTGAAAAGAACAAGAAGAAACAAAAATTATTCAAACAAACTTATTTTTCAGGTTCTTTCAAATGACTTACAAAGGATTCCAGGATGTGTACTGATACCAAAAACTGTCAAAATTAAACTAACATTTTGCCATAAAATTGACAAAGGTTTACTGGCTAACACCATAGGTTTGAACTTACTGTATATGTAGTCTCAAGCTAATAATATGGCTCTTTCCTTTTGACTTTTGTAAAGATACTCTGTAAGGCTTGTGGTAAACTTAGGAAAAAATGGAAATAAAGCAATTTAAGTTTATAAATATTAGGATTTTTTGACATTTTTGTTTAAATTTTAATTGTGCCATTGCCTTAACCAAGAATAGAAAAATATAAATCTGTACTTCTTACCAGAGATTTGTACACTTCCCTAGAAACCAGAATTTTAAGACTTTAAATTTTAAGACTTTAATTGGAATACCAAAATACTTCAGTGAGGGCTTTAAGCTGTAAAATTGCTTACAACCTGGAAAACAAATACATGCACATGTATATATATTCTAACAAACAGACTGATTCCTCTAGTAAAGAGAAACTTCATAAAGCCCACATAATTATTGTGAAAAGTTTAACTGAACCTCTCTTACCTTCAATTTAAAATATCTGTGTTTAATTAAGAATATTCATATATTCAATAGTCAGATAAAAATGAAACCAGTAAAATGAAATTCTTTTCTGGTTAGTAATTACTTTTTCATTTATGGTTGTACATACCTTCTTACAACATTTGTTCAAAATTACTGCAAGTTAGTATGTTTTTTTGGGAAACATTTATACCTAATAAGAAGCAGCTTTAATCTTAATATAAACTATAAAGATAGCTTTCATTCATAAATAAATTAATGAATTTGTTTCTTTTCTAGGGATAGCCCAATAGAAAACATTTGCTCTTGTTTATGATTTTGGGAAACGGGATGGTAGTATATATCTGAAAATGTTATTTAAGACTATGTTTGTAAATATCATCACCTGAAATAGTATTTAAAGTGGCTTATTGATTTTTAAGAATGTTCAGGTAGAATAAGATACTCACGTGTACTTATTCATTTACAAATTTTATTATAAAGTTTTAAACATTATATGCCTCTTCAGGTACATAAATTATTACCCCTAGGGTTTCTGATCTTTCATTTGAGCAACGATGCATAGGAAAGAGCTAGCTTTTGGCATACAATAGAAACTACTTATCATGAGCTAAATAATTACCACCAACACAATGAGGATGGGAGAAAAAAGGCAGAACTTTTTGTTTTTGCCTTAGTGTTAACTATCTATATATTTTTTCCTGTTAAAAGCTATGTTATAAGTATGATTAAACAGTCAGGTCCACAAAAACAATGTTAAATTATTATACAGTGTAAATACTGAATGTTCACAAACGATACAGTGTTTTCACTATTTAAAGGGCAGTACACTAAATAAAATACCTGTATGTCAGAGATCAGAAGACTTTATTTAGCTCATCTCTTTTTCTATCTGTGAAATAATTGGCTTGTTTTTCAAAATAATTATTTCCCAGTGAGCACTACTACCATAGGTAAATATTTGAAGATAGCTAGATAGCCACTTATTTATCTTCTGCTTATTTAATAAAGCACACCTTTTATTCAATATTTTTCTGCACTCAGTGCGTTCTTCAGTCTCTACTGTGTACCACATTCTCTACAAAATGGGCACAAAGTGATGCAAAAAAAAAAACAGATATGACTTATTCCCCTAAAGAAAGATTAGAATAAATATAAGATATTCCTGGACAGAGAAAGTGGAAAAACTTTGTATTTGTGGATAAATAATACTGCATGTAAATGCATGGAGAATAAACAAGTCAATGTACAGAAGCCTGAGCAGAAGCAACACAAGTTCAAGAGGTGACTCACTTGTTACAGATAGGATTAGTAGTGACAAGAAATGGAACAGGTAGAAAGAGTCCAGGTAATAGGAGCCTGGACATCCTTTTGAGATGTTTTAGTAAAATATGGAGAATGATGTAGAATGTAAAATGAGGATGTGGAGATAAAGAAGGCCAGACTTCATGTAGAGTAATATTAAAGATTTGGTTAGTAATCTGAACACCCAAAAGGAAAGAAGTAAGATTTCAACACAGTTGTGTCTAAGGTTAGTTGCATTTAAAGGATAATCTGGCTGTAGTGGAGAGAATAAAATGAGGGAAAGCTCTAGACTACAGGCTGTTATAGTAGTTCAGGTGAGAAAAAATAATGGTTTAGAATAAAAAGGTGGCTATTGAGATAGTAAAATGTTTAATTTTTTGAAATATATTTAAGTGGAAGATAGCATATAGAGGTAGAGTGACTGCAGGGAGAGGAGTCAAATGGTGGCTCATAAATTTCTAGATTGAATGACTATGATACTGAGTTTGGAGAGAGATTACTAGTGGTAAGAACATAGTAAATTTGATTTTAAAACTCAACAGTTTTGAATATGTTGAATTGTAGGGTGTTGAATTACTTCAGCCCCATCTTCCAAAGCAGTGCTGATTAAGAAACCTACCATTTTTCTTACTGCAAGAATCCATCCTTCTCTGTATGATTTGGATAAGACTCACTGCTCCCTTAATTATTTATGATAAGGTCAGGAACAGATCCTCCAAATTTACTTTCTTTGCCTCATAAATAATTTGCTGAACTGTTTTGTTGCCACTGATCAATCAGAAAAAAATGCTTCTTATAAAAACTTCAGTTATGTTTCTCTCTTTCCTCAGGGCCCTAGGCTTTGATTTATCCTCACCTGGAGCCAGCATCCAACTACTCCCTAGTGACTCCTGAGAATACACTGAACACACTCTGTGATCTACTGTGACATCATGCCACCCTCACTCATCCACTTCCCCACACCCAGTGCTTCTTAGCTTTGTTTACTCCTCCCTATTAAAAAAAGAGCCCTTTCTACCTAACCCTGCAGGTATTTGCAGATCTCATGGTTGGAGTATTCTTACTATTGCAGTAGCTCCCTGCATTCTTTCCTCCTTTTCCCTTTCCCTTTTGCCTCCTTTTATCCTTTCCTTGCCTTACTGAGATGAGCAAAGTTGGGAGGTACAACTCATTTACATTGAGAGACCAAGCTAATCTTCTTGAAGAAAATGATAGCTGAGCAGAGATTTGAAGGATAATAGGAGTGGAAAATTACAAAGAGTGCCAGGTGACTCTGGCCTCTGGTGAGGGTGGGAAAAATAATGCTGAAACAGAAAGCAGGAGAAATTCTCTATCATCTCTATCTCTGAATGACTACTAGACTGAAAATTAGGATATTATCCTAAAAATGATAGGGAATTGTCAGAGGGATTTAAGCACAGAAGTTACATAATCAGCTTTACTTCTTTTTTTTTTAAAGTTATTTGTTTGAAATGGTGAGTCGGGATAGGAGGATAATAGATTGTAAGGATGAAACATTGGAAGCAAAGATGCTACTTGAGGTTAGTGTAGTATCATGAAAAGCAGTGATGGGTTTTGTGCTAAGGTAGTAAGTTAAAGATGGATAAAAAAGGATGGATGGGATTTGAGACATGAAAAGTCATTTTTCATACTTCATATGGCTTAAAAATAATATGTGCATAACATTCATGCATAATATGTGGTAAGGCAAAGTATGACAAGAAAAAAATAATTTTCTACTTCATCACCAACTTGAAATCTAGGAGAGATTTTAAGAGGCGTGTGTGTGTGTGTGTGTGCACTTGTGTATGTTTGATCGTCTATGTAGAAGTGTTTATCTCTTCCAGGATAATCTTTATTAAGACTATATAGCTAACTTTTGATATTTTCATTATAATGCATTTCTCTAATGAAAATTTTAAATGATCAAATGCTAATAATTTTAAGATATATAACAGCTTTAATATTAATAATCTATCAATGTACATATTAAATGTAACTCATAGTACCCTTCATTTTAAAATAATATTCCACTTAAAATACTTTTTGATATAATTGCACATTGTGAGAAATATGTAGTCATCGAACATGTATTAAACATTTTATTTTAATCATATATTTAATTTTGCTTAATGACCATGATAAAATGTTTAAACTTCACTGCAATCAGGGTAGGGTTTTGACTCATTTTTAGGGTACTGTGTTTATTTTTAAACATTTCAATAATGTAGTCACTAATTGGACAGGTTATATTCCAAGAAATTAGGTTGTTGATACTATGAAAAAATAACCTTACAAACTGACCTCCACCAGTTGCTATATTAATTTAACACTATGAGTTACCCTGTCTGTTTACTTGTTGTTTGGCTAAGTATTAAATGGAATAATTTAAACAGAAACTTGAACTAGATAGTTGAGAAATTTTTTTATTTTTTTATATTCTTTTTACCTCCATTTGTTTTTTGGTATCATTAATCTACAATTACATGAGGAACATTATGTTTACTAGACTCCCCCTATCACTAAGACCCCCCCACATACCCCATTATGGTCACTGTCCATCAGTGTAGTAAGATGCTGTAGAATCACTACTTGTCTTCTCTGTGTTGTACAATCCTCCCTGCACCCCCAACTTCTACATTATGTCTGCTAATGGTAATGCCCCATTTATTTCCCCTTATCAATTCCTTCCCACCCATACTCCCCAGTACCTTTCCCTTTGGTAACTGTTAGTCCATTCTTGGGTTCTGTGAGTCTGCTGCTGTTTTGTTCCTTCAGTTTTTTTCTTTGTTCTTATACTCCGCAGAGGAGTGAAATCATTTGATACTTGCCTTATTCCACCTGGCTTATTTCACTGAGCATAATACCATCTAGCTCCATCCATGTTATTGCAAATGGTAAGATTTGTTTCCTTCTTATGGTTGAAAAATATTCCATTGTGTATATGTACCATATCTTTATCCATTCATCTACTTTTGGACACTTAGGTTGCTTCCATTTCATGGCTATTGTAAATAGAGCTGCAATAAACATAGGGGTGCATCTGTCTTTTTCAAACTGGGCTGCTGAATTCTTAGGGTAAATTCCTAGAAGTGGAATTCCTTGGTCAAATGGTATTTCTATTTTGAGCTTTTAGAGGAACCTCCATACTGCTTTCCACAATGGTTGAACTAATCTACATTCCCACCAGCAGTGTAGGAGTGTTCCCCTCTTCCACAACTTCACCAACATTTGTTGTTGTTTGTCTTTTGGGTGGTGGCAATCCTTACTGGTGTGAGGTGATATCTCATTGTGGTTTTAATTTCCATTTCTCTGATGATTAGAGATGTGGAGCATCTTTTCATGTGTCTTTTGGCCATCTGAATTTCTTCTTTGGAGAAGTATCTGTTCAGATCCTGTGCCCATTTTTTAATTGTATTATTTGCTTTTTGTTTGCTGAGGTGTGTAAGCTCTTTATATATTTTGGATATCAACCCTTTATTGTATCTGTTGTTTATGAATACATTCTCCTATACTGTAGGACGCCTTTTTGTTCTGCTGATGGTATTCTTTACTGTACAGAAGCTTTTCAGCTTGATATAGCCCCACTTGTTCATTTTTGCTTTTGTTTCCCTTGCCCAGAGAGATATGTTCATGAAGAAGTTGCTCATGTTTATGTCCAAGATATTTTAGCTATGTAGCTATGTTTTCTTCTAAGAGTTTTAAGGTTTCATGACTTACATTCAGATCTTTGATCCATTTTGAATTTATTTTTGTGTATGGGGTTAGATAATGATCCAGTTTCATTCTCTTACATGTGGCTGTCCAGTTTTGCCAACACCGTCTGTTGAAGAGGCTGTCATTTCTCCATTGTATGTCCATGATCCTTTATCATATATAATGGACCATATATGTTTGGATTAATGTCTGGAGACTCTATTCTGTTCCACTGGTCTGTGGCTCTGTTCTTGTGCCAGTACCAAATTGTCTTGATTACTGTGGCTTTGTAGTAGAGCTTGAAGTTGGGGAGCGAGATCCCCTCACTTTATTCTTCCTTCTCAGGATTGCTTTGGCTATTCGGGGTCTTTGGTGTTTCCATAAGAATTTTAGAACCATTTACTCTAGTTCATTGAAGAATACTGTATATATTTTGATAGGGATTGCATTGAATCTATAGATTACTTTAGAAAGAATGGCCATTTTGACGATGTTAATTCTTTTTAGCCAAGAGCATGGGATGAGTTTCCATTTGTTAGTCTCCTCTCTAATTTCTCTTAAGAGTGTCTTGTAGTTTTCAGGGTATAGGTCTTTCACTTCCTTGGTTAGTTTTATTCCTAGGTATTTTACTCTTTTTGATGTAATTGTGAATGGAATTGTTTTCCTGATTTCTCTTTCTGTTAGTTCATTGTTAGTGTATAGGAAAGCCACATATTCCTGTGTGTTAATTTTGTATCCTGCAACTTTGCTGAATTCTGATATTAGTTCTAGTAGTTTTGGAGTGGAGTCTTTAGGAATTTTTATGTACAATATCATGTCATCTGCAAATAGTGACAGTTTGACTTCTTCTTTACCAATCTGGATTCCTTGTATTTCTTTGTTTTGTCTGATTGCTGAGGCTAGGACCTCCAATACTATGTTGAATAACAGTGGGGAGAGTGGGTATCCCTGTCTTGTTCTGATATTACAGAAAAGCTTTCAGCTTCTCACTGTAAAGTATGATATTGGCTCTGGGTTTGTAATATATGGCCTTTATTATGTTGAAGTATTTGCCCTCTATACTCATTTTGTTGAGAGTTTTTATCATGAATGAATGTTGAATTTTGTCAAATGCTTTTTCAGCATCGATGGAGATGATCATGTGGTTTTTGTCCTTATTTTTGTTGAAGTGGTGGATGATGTTGGATTTTTGATAGTTGAGTAATTTTATTCATGAAATGTGCACTGCATGGATTTGTTTTTTGAGGTTTGGTTAATGTCTTATTTATTTTTTTATTTTGGTATCATTAATATACAATTACATGAACACATTATGGTTACTATACCACCCCCATTATCATGTCCCCACTACATACCCCGTAATGGTCATTGTCTATCATCGTAGTTAGATACTATAGTATCACTACTTGTCTTCTCTTTGTTATACAGCCTTCCCTGTGCCCCCCTCCCTACATTATGAGTGCTAATTGTAATGCCCCCCTTTCTCCCTTGTCCCTTCCTTCTCCATCCCTTCTCACCCATCCAACACAGTCCCTTTCCCTTTGGTGACTGTTAGTCCATTCTTGGGTTCTGTGAGTCTGCTGCTGTTTTGTTCCTTCAGTTTTTTCTTTGTTCTTATACTCCACAGATGAGTGAAATAATTTAATACTTGTGTTCTCCACCTGGCTTTTTTCACTATGCATAATACCCTCTAGCTCCATCCATGTTGTTGCAAATGGTAGGATTTGTTTCCTTCTTATGGCTGAATAATATTCCATTGTGTATATGTATCATATCTTTATCCATTCATTTACTGATAAAAACTTAGGTTACTTCCGTTTCTTGGCTATTGTAAATAGTGCAGCGATAAACATAGGGGTGCATCTATCTTTTTCAAACTGGGCTCCTGCATTCTTAGGGTAAATTCCTAGGAGTCGAATTCCTGGGTCAAACGGTATTTCTCTTTTGAGCTTTTTGATGAACCTCCATACTGCTTTCCACAATGGTTGAACTAAATTACATTCACACCAGCATTCTGGTAGTGTTCCCCTTTTCCACAACCTCACCAACATTTGTTGCTGTTTCTCTTTTGGATGGTGGCCATCCTAACTGGTGTGAGGTGATATCTCATTGTGGTTTTAATTTACATTTCTCTGATGATTAGAGATGTGGAGCATCTTTTCATGTGTCTGTTGGCCATCTGAATTTCTTCTTTGAGGAAGTGTCTGTTCACCTCCTCTGCCCGTTTTTTAATTGGATTATTTGCTTTATGTTTGTTGTGGT